ACTTCATGTTTTGTTGAGTAAACACCAAATCAAGTTCTTTTATGAGATTCCAAAAATTGTAGTGCGATGGGTCTCTTCTAATAAAGCGAAGTGTGTGTTGGACATTACCATATTTATGTATATATTTGTGAATATTTTCAATTTTAAATTCTCCCAGTTTTTGAGTAATTTGAGGGATTTTTTGCTTCTTGATTGATAAAAACAGTTTTACGTAGTCGAATATATACCTTTCAAATTGTAGCAACACTCGTTCCAAACCGTCAATAATGGTTCTTTTCTTTCTTTGTATAACATCTTCTTTTGATTCAAAGAAAGTGGGTATTTGTTCAAAGTCGTTATATTCTCCTAAAGTAAGGACAACAAACAAGAGTAAAATTTGAAACATCTTTATGTTGTATTTTATTAAGATTCTTTATTTTTATATAATATGTGATGGTTTTTGTCTTCATAAATTATTTATTTGATGTCGAAAAAACACATTTAAATCACAGTCGGTTATTAAACGTTATATGGTCTCTAACTTTATCAGTTTTTTAAAATAATAATAATTGGAATTATTTGTTTTTGGTTATTTTATTAATTCAGAAGACTTTCTAAAAAACATCCTATTTGTTTTAGGTTTATTCCACTTTACTTGATGCTTGATGCTTAGATTAAATTGGAGTGTTTTTTTGTCCAGATATCTTTAAAAGACTGAATTTATTATAAATTAGTAAAATTAAGACATCAACATTCTAAAATGAAAAAAAAATATTTTGTTTAAATTCATTGAACATCAACCAACTTTTTTACATAAATTTTGTTAATTTAAAACAAAATAATGTTTTATTATAACAGTAATAAATTTTTAATAAATTAATTAAAATTGGTGGAAAAAGTCAGATTTGATAAATTTTACTAAATTTATAATAAATTATAATAAACAATAATTTATTATTACTTTTTAATTTTATTACTATTAAATTCTATAACTAACGAACCAAACAAATAATTCTAATTTATATAACGAGACGCCTCTATTTTAGATAAAAACAACAATTTGTTCACAATACACCTGTATATTACAAATAATTGTTCTTAGTTAATTATGAACATTCATTTATTCATTCGAAGACTGATTCAATACATGGGGAAATGGGTGACAACTCTTTAACAATATGAAGATGTTTAAAGATCAAATTTGTTGTTATAAATTAAATGTCCCAAATGCCACATTCAAGTTTTTGATTGTTGAATTGTGTTGAAAAACGGCAATAAAATTTTATAAATGATTTGATAGACAACTTGTAGTTATGTTTTTTATATATGCTATATTTTTATTTTCAATTTTAAACTGAACATTGAGTGGTTGTATTTGTCCATGTATTAAATTAACACAATCACAACAACAAAATGTTGTTTATGTATTTAAAACGTTTGTTTTATTTGCGTGATTAAAAAAATTTCAACCTAAAGTTTGGTTGTACTCAAACATCAAACCAATGGCTTAAATTGGAGGCGCTTGCAGATGAATAAGGGTCAAGGACAATCAAAACTGTTTATTCTTGGCTCAATTAATTCTATTTTTATTAATGTTCATTTGGTTCAATTAAAATTATTATTGTTTAAACAATAATAAAATATTTAATAAATCTACTATAATTTTTATTATTCACAAATTGATTTTTTATAGGTTATTTATAATTAAAATAACTATACATTTTTCATTTTTTTATTTGTTTAGTATAATGAATGGTTGTTTACAATAAATTATAGTAATTCTTATCAAGCCGGACTTTTTTACCAACTCCGTGATAAATTCTTGTCGAGTTTCCACAAACCCTCACTGGCATTACTCTTCAAAGAGTTTCAAACATTGAAATTAATCAAATTAACTTTGATGAAAACAACCCAAGAATATACCCACAGTGGTTTGCCCAAAAACTTAACAAAGTTAGATTATATTCAGAAGAA